AATCTAATCACACAAGCTAACCAAACTAACTTCTTCCTCCTTATCCCAACTTGAAGTGACTTTTCATAAAAAAACACGGACAACAAGTTGATTATTCATCTAAATGTCTGACAAACTAGTAGTAACTTGGACACTGCATATAATTATTGGTGTGCAATGGACCTGTCATACAATTTCATAATTGAAGCTTATAATCAAACTGAATTTATCACATGCCTTAAAAATGTAATCAAATCAAAATTCAACTTTTTTTTCAATGTTTATGGGAATCAACTAACTAACTGACTACAAGTTGTTTATATGAATTTACAATTAATTGAAAAGGAATATGACATTTTTCGAAATTATCAATTCAGAACTTTGTTGTCTAGTTTGTTTATCACGTGGAACTAATGAACTAAGGAAACTTTCCTTGTACAATAAAAAACATACGTTTTTTCCCCTTATTTTTATTCAGATATTGAAAGGGAACAAACAGTAGGATAGAAAAGTTAGTCAAAATATCACTACTGTAAGTCAATCATCATCTATGAATCATTCAGTAATTTAAAACAAAAAAATGGATACACCAGATAACAATTTGAAAATAATTTTCCATGTGAATTGATATTAGGATAGAGAGAGAATTATTGGAAATCATAAAATACTGTAAATAATATGCATTTCATATTCATTCATTCATTTAGGACTGATTCCTCAGACAATAAATAATGAGTTCAGCACCTACGACCCTATTATGGAGTGGAGATCAGCCAATTGAAGTTCTGTTATTAGTATGATGGTTTTAGGTAACCATGGAGGGGCATTACTGACCGATTTCAGTCAAGTTTATTGCCATAATCTCATTCATATTAGTATAATTGACTAAACAATGTGATGCGCAAGGAGCAACTTAAGTATTTTAACTAGGTTCAGTTCAGCATGGATAGCTAATCTGTGTGACTGAGCTATAATCAGTAGGCGCCTACGACTAGCTTCTCTAAGTCCTGCTATGACTATGATGGTCTTAGATAACCGTGGGAGTCAACTTTATGGCCGTAATCTCACTCATAACATGGTCAACTAAATAATGTGGTGGTCTAGAAGCAACTTAAATATTTTAACTAGGTTCAGTTCTGTATGGATAGCTAATCTATGTGGCAGACGAATTCCAAACAAGTACAGAACAGCTATTCAGTGTTTTCATTAGTTCTTTCCATAGCTATACGTAAAAAATGGGATATGATTACAACTAGGAAATATAGAATATTCATTACGGGTGAGTGAGTAATGACACGCGTACTATAAAGCTTTCCTATCGAAGAATTTTTCATTGTTTCATATGAATTAAAGTATTTCAAATATCACTGTCCGCGGTTATAACACTTTATCTACACAAAACCTAAGTGGACAGGTTAGTATTTAAGTTACAACACCTTCTATCCGATTGAATGCAAATGCAGGTTCATAAAATATTGTATCAAATCAAATCAATGGACTATGTCACTTATGGCGCAGGGAAGATATCCGTTTGCTGACTAAAGGACAAATGTACTATGCAGCAGTTTGCTCCCTCCTACTATACGGATGCGAAACATGGTCGGTGAGAGTAAAGGATACTCGTAGATTCCTTGTCTTCGAAGCATTGCTCGTGTATCATGGGACAACCGTATAAGCAATGCTGTCGTTAGGAAACGAGTATTAGGTAGGGACGACAGATCAATAGATGAAGTAGTGAAAATTCATCAGTTGAGGTGGTAAGGACATGTGTTACGTACGGCTAACCACCGACTGCCGCGACAAGCTATGTTTTGTGGTGTAGGAGTAGGTTGGATGAAAGTTAGGGGCGGCCAAACCAAAACATGGCAGAAATCCATGAAGTCTCTGACAAGTGGACTGAGTCATGTTGGTAGATGTAGACTACCTGGTTGGAGTCCGCGAGACGATAGTGACCGATAGTTAGTAACCTTGAACGACAAAGCTCAAAATAGTTTGCAATGGCGCAGGTGCATCCACTCTTTGTGTTCTCTGAGATTCTATTTTTCGGGATTCCTCATAATCTCTACCTTTCTCCTTCTAAATTTATCTCACTGAATTAAATTTGTCGAATCATATCTTAGAACCCTAATCTTCTCCATTACTGTTATTACTTCTATTACCTTGACTACTATGGGATTTGAAGTGACAATTGCATCTCTGTGCTAATTTGGTATGGCAGCTTGAACTGATGTTCGTACGTACATACGAAGTTCTGCTGTCTGTCCACTGCATATCGAACCGTTTTATGCTCAGATAGGCAGTAGAGATTAAACTCATTATACGGATAAAATGAAATCCATCAGTCAGTCATCAACATAAAGTATATCAGTTCAATTTGTCATAACACACCATTAGCATAGAGAGATGCAATCGCCACTTCAAATCCCATAGTAGTAGTAGAATTATTAACAGTAATCGGAGATTTTAGGGTTCCGACGATTATTAATATTCAAGAACTAAACTTAAAATCCATACTTTGACAAAAAAAGAGTAGTTAATTAGCATCCAATATACTATAATGGGTTTGGCTTATTCAACTACCATAGATTAGGTGTGATGACGCCTACATATTATAATACGTTGAGTAATCATGATATAATACAATAATTGTTAGGATATTCATCCAATAGCCTAAGAGAATTATCGGTCAATATTATGGTCGACCTAGATATCAATGTCACAGACTTGAATGTTGCTTCCTATTCGACCTCACTGTATATATACGCACTATCTGTAACGTTTTATGAGCCGGATCCTTAGTCTGAGATCCTGACTCTCTTCTGGACTCAGACCTCGAACTTCTGGTTGCTTGTAAAATACAGGTTCTACTTCATGTCAAGTCTTCTTTTACTCAATGGGGGCTTGGGACATTCGGATTAGAGTAGCCTACCGTGTCGCCGAATCCTCGATTCCCGCTCTATCAATTTCCGACTACGGTAAACTCGTAATAATTCCAAGTACATCAAAATGACATGGTCACATGCATGAGTAACAATAATCTATGACACCGTGTGAACAAATACATTTACTAGCCCGCGCCTACCCCCATTCCATTCCATTCTTTCATATTTTTTTTCAACAACCTAATACACTACTACTGCTACTACTATTAATGATTACAATTGCATTTTATTTTAAAATGAGAGAACAGAAAAACAAAACGAAACAAAACAAATGAATGAATGAATGAACACAAGGCTGGACATGATGAGGAATTATTACCAATTAAAAACAATAAAGACAATGAGAACATTCACCAGTAAAATTAATAACCATGTATGTCCATATATATATATGTGTGTGTGCAGTATAAACTGATTGCATACAAAAAACCGATAGTAATGTGTGATGAGAAGAAAAAGAGGGTTAATACAAAATTTTTTTTAAGAAAAGTGTAAAATGTTTCATTTTTCTTTTTGAATACTCCTCATTTGAAAGAAAAAAAAACAAACATTTGAAAATAAAAAAAACATTCTTCACAAGGTGGTTGGTTACATACACACATAATCAATGAAATGCAATAGATGGATGGGTTTGTTGCTTAGAAAATTACCTCCAAAAAAACAGGGAGAATGTGTAAAAAAAAAGGAAGAAAGCCAGAAAACTTGATCAATAATAAGAAAGCCAAAACAAACCAGTCAGTGAATTGAGAATAATGATTGACAATGGCAAGTATAGATAACAACAGTACAAATTTCAGAAATGATTTAAGCCACACGGCGTAAGTATTTATTATACACAGTTAGGTACGAGTTCGCGGATCATATTGATTGATTGTATTGAATAATGGTAACAACAACCTAATTTAACAACCTAATAACAACTATGGAATAAGATCTCCATAATGCTTAACACTAACACGAATGACTATATAGTGGCAGTGTAATCATCATTGTAAAACCGGTATTCATCCATTATTGAAGATTCGGTTAAGTGTGAGCAGCGCGCATAAGCATGACAGTGAGTGATGTGATAATAATCTAGCATTCAACTATCGAAATACACACTATCTATCTATAAATAGAAAGAGAGAGAGAAGCTGAAACTGACAAGTTTTTTAGTTTGATTGCAAGCGGCAATGCTATACAACACAGAAGCACGCGGTATATTACAAATTACTCAACTGAATAAATGACATCATCATATTAGTAAATTGACAGAGAAAAGCCTACTGAATGCATTGCAAATATACACAAGATGTGACTAGACGTTTCTCTCTCTCTCCCACTCCCTGCATGTGTGTGTGTGTGAGTGTGTACATACATATAAAGCGATGAAGCAACAAGCCATTGTAATAACTAACTACGAGTCTAGGCAAAACTTCTTATGGACAAATAGAAAGAAAGCAAATTACTTATGTAGACAGACAATATTGGCCTGAAATAAGGACAAAACTATTCATTCAACGTAAGGAGGAGGAAAGAAAAATTGTATTATATGTATATATACTGCTAGTCAGTCAATTCATTCTTTAAAAAGTTTCTCCTACTATTTTATAACAAAATTAACTATTATCAAGTAAGAGAGAGAGAGAGAATGAGGCAATACAATACAATACAAGAAATGAGATGAAGAAAAGCAATCCAGCAGTAATAATAAACAAGATAACTGTAAAATGCATACATGTATATATGTATATAACAGAGTAAAAATTGTAACACTAGCTAAAGTGCATCGTTTGCAGGTCTGTGTGTGTCCATATGTGTGAGAGCGAGTGAATTCAGGAGACAAACATTCACAACTGTACATAACTCAACCATTTGGGGGCGGAGGGTGCCCACCATCAACAACACCAAAACTGACGTGTTCTATATCATGTGTAAGCAATAATGACATACAAGATGATGATGACGATGTCTGTTGCATAATAATACTAATAATAATAATTAAACTAGAGACATCGACATAATTTTTACATGATCAATAAATCCAACAGAATTTCATTTTAAGGGAATGGTGTGGTGTGGTGTGATAGATGATCACCAATTTTTTTTATAAAATGACGATTGTTCAGAAAAAAATTATACAGAGAGAGAGAGAGAGAAAGAGAGAGAGCAGAGTTAAACAATGCCAACGAAACATGATTGTATTATGATGATGGATATTGATTTTTTTTTAGAAAAAAAAGACAGAATAAAAAAAACTGGGAGGAAGAAGATCTCTCAGTGTGAGTAAAAATAAAAATTATATTCTATCAATAATAAAAATAAAAGATGTTGAAAACAGAAGATCACCACAGTGGTCGCATTATTTATTTAACAATTTCTTATGGAAGATGCACGAAGAGCTAAAAAAGAAAGAAAGAGTAAAGGAGAATGGAAATTGAATTAATTAGAGAGATTATTCACAATGTTATTCATGCGTATGGAATTCTTATGAAAGGTGCGAAAGGCAGTGTTCTTAGTTAGATTACTAATGAAAATAAGGAAGCAATGAATAGTTATCGACTTCTAAATATGGGGACTCTTCAACAATGTACATCTACGAACAATTCAATTGAAGTGGATCGGACTCAAGGTCACCGGACTCATGAGTTAGAACTGAGCCGCCAGGTCGTCACTTGTCTAAATTCGGCCGATTTGTGATCCAACTTCTCACGTTTGAAATATCTCAATCAATCAATCAATAGCAACGTAGAACTTCGTACGTAAGTACATCAGTTCATGTTGCCATACCACATTAGTACAGAGGTGTAATTGTCAATTCAAATCCAATAGTAGAAGAGGTAGTAAAGGTATTAACAGTAGTCGGAGAGGTTAGGATTAGAAGATATGATTCAAGAAGTATGATTCAGTGAGATAAGTTTAGAAAGACAAAGATAGAGGTGCTGACGAATCCAGAAGATTAGGATTTGAGAGAGCACAAAGAATGAATGCACCGGCGCCATTGCAAACGGTTTTGAGCCATGTCATTCAAGGTCTCTAACCATTGATTATTATCATCTCGCGGACCTCAACAAGGTAGACTACATCTACCAACATGACTCAGTCCACTTGTCAGTGACTTCATGGATTTCTGCCATTGTTTCGTCTGGCCGCTCCTAGATTTCTTTCAACCTATTCCTACATCACAAAACATCGCTCGTCAAGGCAGTCCGTGGTTAGCCATACGTAACATATGTCTCAATCACCTCTACGGATGAAGTCTCACTACTTCATTCATCTATCTACCATCCTTACCTATTACCCGTTACCTAACAACTGCACTAATTAATCGATTGTCTCAGGATATACGAGCAATGCTCCGGAGACACCAATGATCGAATACTGACAGCCTACGAATATCCTCTACTCTCGCTGGCCATGTTTCACAGCCATAAAGTAGGACGGAACGAATCGCTGCGTAGTAGTAGACTCATCCTTTGGTTGGTAGACGGATGGATATCTCACCTACTTACTCAATGAACTAATTTCAACATGTATGCATCATTAAAAAGCAACAATAAAAAACAAACAAACAAACAAACAAGAAAAACCGAAACGAAAAGATTACCTTCAATGACATCGTTTTTTAACTGTTGAACTTCTCGACGAAATTCCGATATTAATTCACGTTTAAATATTTCTAAATCAGCTCGATTTACCGCTGTACTGATACTATTGGAACAAGTATTGGCTAAATTATTCAATGTTGTTGAATCCAAAGCTGGAGTAGAAGCTTTTCTTCTGAAATTAGTGAATTAACAAACAATAATAATAATTATTATTATTCAATGTTCAATTGTTCAATATTTAAATTAGAAATGTGATTTCAAAACTAGTTCGTAAGTTTGATCAAATAAATCTGTTAGCAAATTCTTACTAGTGATATGATCGTAGTGAGTCTTTATTAGTTGAGGTGGTTGAAACATGTGTTACGTATCACCTCGATGAGCTATGTTGTCTGATGTAGGGGTAGGCTGGAATGGGGAGGCTAAGAGAGGCCAAACCAAAACATGATACAAATCTATGGAGCCACTGACAGTAGTAACCGATGGTTAGAGACTTTGAATGACACGGCTCAAAACCATTTGCAATGGCGCAGGTGGATCCGCTCTCTGTCTTCCATCAAATCCTAATCTTCTGAATTCCTTATCACCTTTATCTTTCTCCTTTTAAGTTTATTTCACTGGATTGTACTTTTCGAATCATATCTTCACTCCCTAATCTTCTCCACTAACGACAATCGCATCTGTGGGCTAATGCAGTGGTATGACAACCTGAACTGATGTACGTATGTACGAAGTTCTACGTCGTAACTGACTGACTGACTGACTATATGTACAAAACTGGGTTTATTTGCCGGCCTAAGGATGACCTTGATCTACTACTATATAAGCTTCAAATATGGCAACAAAATATTAAATCAGCCTAACAAAATTGCGATAGAGAATCTTTTATTTTTGGAGAATCCACTGTTCAATGATGATTGGACATGGAGACCAGAAACTTGTTAAGGTTATTTCAAATCATCAAACACACACACATATATATATATAACCTTTAAAAAAGAAGGCAATAATTTATACGAATACTTTGCACACTTCACTTACAATGTAGCATAACCAGGCACAATAGATGATGAACTACTATTAACACTTGTGGATACATTTGCTGTAACAGAATGTGAACGAATTGGAGAAGTAGCAATTGGTATATCGTTATTTGAATTAGTAATTGTTGTCGATGTTGAAGTTGTATTATTCGATGTAGATAAAACACCAGTTGTAGCATTCGAATCCTAAATGATAGTAAATAGTTGGTTCAGAAGCGTATTGTGAAGAAAATAAAACACATTGATTATATAGCATAACCAATATAAATCACACATGTAAATAAATACACTTTAAATAATCCTTAAAGCCAAAGATATCTTATCAATTGATAACTAAACTGATGATATATATAGGTGAGCCAATCAGAAGTGACCAAATTGTTGGTGATGGATGCTAGATCCCCAAAACTCGCTTGTTAAATGCCTTATTTTGGATTCTACGCTTGCCAGCATGGGCTGATCAGTTGACCATGAGATTTCATTTCCAACCGGGAAAATCCTTGGCTGTGATTGGCTGCTGTGTATTTTAGTGTGCTATTTTCTTAACTGTCCTAAGGACGTTTCTATGATGTATAAATAAACGAGAGTTGTATGCTTGATTGTACTGCGGTTGCTGGGTGTTTGTAGAATATACTTTCTACGCTTACAATGGCCTTCTATCTTCAGCTTGGGATTAAAGGTAGCCTACCTGGACGCTGGTAAAAGTCTCGTTCGCGTTTATCGACTAAGGTAAACTCGTAATAGCTTCAACCATATTAAGTGACGAACGCAATACAAATGAGAAGGCTATTTGGTTTGTGGAGTTAACGAGTATGGCGATCAGATCAGATTTAGGATAGTGCACAACTGAACTTTAATAATTACGTTTCATGTGTCAATCAAAGAAGATCTATTTCGATAAGTCAAAAAGAAACTAAGTGATCGAAATATCAATTGAGTAGTCTTGAAGAAAGTTTTCACATGTACGTAATCCAATGAAAAAAATTACCATTACATAATACGGCCGTTTCGTCCTAGTATGGAACTCTTCAGTAGTGCGCGAGAATAGAACCCAAGACCTTCAGTTTCGTGCGAGAACGCTAAAACTCCAGACCACTGAGCCGGTGTATCCAATTGTGTCAATCCCTGATATTGTGCAACTTCATTGCTGATGCGATCCGTACTAGGACGAAACGGTCGTCTAGTGCTTCCAGGTTTCTAATGATGGTCTAACATTGGTCGGTTCACAATCTCAATGATACACAGACTTATTGGTTAGAAAACTAATTATTCATCAAGTTAGTGAACCACATTGTTTAGAGATGATGAGAAAGTGATAACTTTATTGATTACTTAAAATAGTATTTATTAATCGATTTAAATGTTGTAAAAAACACTGTACATACATGAATAAAGACGAATATTATTTGTGTAAACACAATCAAAACTATTTGTTTATTTACTCTTTGTAAGAAGAAAAATAAATATTGTGAAACAGAATGGAAAAGTTACTAATAAGTATGCATTTATACATAACACTGTGCAGACCACATACTGTTTCAACTGTTTGTTGTGTAATGCCGATTATACAATTTGATTTCAATAAACCGATTACTACTTATGATTTATTAACATATTACTTAAAAGGAAATATTATTAAAATGCACAATACATTAATTGTAATATATTAAGAATACATTGATTAATTTTTATTAAGTGAACTATCCTAAAGCAGATTATTACTAAATTACTTGATATTCACATTCAAGGATTTTCTTCCAATCGAATCATCTCAGTTTATTTTAATGAGTGGATACTATTTTAAGTATAGATAACCAGGCAAATAAACTCTGCCTGTAGACCCTTCGAAGCTACTGCCGGTCCCAAGCCCGGATAAATGAGGAGGGTTGGAGACCCCATCCCGTTGGAGGTTGGCGGCATATGCTCCATTGGGGGTAACAGGCGTAAGTAAGTAAGTAAGTAAGTAACCAGGTAAATATAAATTCAAAGTAAACTGTTTGTATTATACATTAGAATCCATTATAACAGCTTAGATGAATTGCCTTGTTTTGTCTTCAATCGATCTTCTTTTCCAAATCGTATTTATTATCTATGGTTGATGTTTTCGATTGAGAATGATACTACTAATATTACTACTAGTATGGCATTCGCCTTGATGATGTTATCTCATTGTGCTACTACTATAGGGTGACGACTTGAACCGACACATACATGTATTTAACAGTGAATTAAATGAAAATACATCATGTAACCTTGAACGAGATGGCTGAAAAATTGTTTGCTATGGTGTAGGTGCATCCACTTCTTGAGTTCGCACAAATCTTAATCTTCGGAATTGGTCATCACCTCTAACTTTCTCTTTCTAAACTTATCTCACTGAATCACACTTCTTGAATAATATCTTCGAACCCTAATCTTCTCCTTTACCGCTAATACTTCTACTATCTCTACCAATATGTGGTTCGAACTGACAGTTGCGTCTCTGTGCTAATGTGGTATGGAAGCCTGAACTGATGTACTTACGTACGAAGTTCTACGTCATAACTGACTGACTGACCGACTGATATTACGTAACAACTAGTACACTATGAAGAACAGTATTGAAATTAGATTTCTAGTTAGTTAATGACTTTACCAAAAACTAGAGGAAGTTTACACATATTTCATTCGAAGCGACTAACAATGGTGGCAAATACAAACAAACTCATGAAATGTTTACAAAATAAATGAAAGTTTCAACAACATGCTGCTAAAAGAACTAGAAAAACCAAAATTTTTAACACACAAAAAATGATTTTGCTATTGTGAAACTATTCGACTACTACTAAAAAATATATTAGGGAGATGATAAAAGTTTCTTATCTAATTTTAAAAGGGCGAATAAATAACAATCAACAAGAGTATAATATATGAATGAACTGAATACAACAAGGATGAATTACTAGTTAGTTCTTTGTGAATGGATAATGTATAGGGGGGATGGGGAAAGCAATAAATGTAAAGAGATTTTACATATGATACGAGTCTATGCAAGTCTTCAACAGGTTAATATGGCATAAAATATAGGAAGAAAAATCATCGTCATAATTACTGATTATCAGTTTGCTTCATCAACAGCATTAAAAATCATATAAATATTTGAGTTATTCACTATAGAGAATGTTGTTTTTCATTGAAATAGCGAGTCAATCGTTGATAGACCACCATTAGAAACAAGGAAGCAATGGACGGTCCTTTCGACCTAGTATTCATCTCCTCAGCAGTTAGGTTGTGTAGTAGCATTAACACCGTTGGATGCCGGCTCAGTGGTCTAGAGGCTGAGCATTCGTGTGCGAGACCGAAGGTTCTGGGCTCGACTCCAACGAGCGGGAGTTGTGGATGCGAACTGCTAAAGAGACATACTAAAATGAAACGGTCATCCAGTGCTTCCATGTTTCTAATGCTGGTCTATCAACGATTATTTACTCGCTATTTCAAAGACGCTTTAAAGTCCTCATACTGTTCTTGATTAGGATTGTATTATCAGAGTGATAATTAAAAGTTGAACGGTTAGAATTTCATCATATTAGCTTTAATAAAAAAATGTATTGTAGCCAAATGAAAGAATGGATTTTGAGCAAAAATCTAACATGGATTATCTGATTTAGTTTATCCATAACATATAACATCACCAGCTTAAGATTTCTTTTGGAATTAAAAGTTCATAGTTAGAAATTGTTGGGATAGAGTCAGTTTACCTGTTATATGCAATTTACACAGAGAGAAGATCAAACATTCTATACTTCATGACATTGTTAAATTAAATGTAGGGCTCACCACTTTTGTGGCTAGCAATAGGACTCTAATCAGGATGAATCACCGAGTATGCGATGAAATTAATCCCTGTATGCCTGTGATATATATATATATATATATATATATATATATATATCAGTATATACTTAGGCAAACCAAGTTTGTGCTACATTGGTAATAAGCCGAATACAGATTTAGTTGGATGAGTTCACGCAAGCAAACATGAGAATACAAAGCGTAAAGCGAAGCGGACACGAAGAGTGAACCAATCGCATGCGATGAGGATGATATAATATTGATCAGTCAGTCAGTTATAACATAGAACTTCGTACGTAAGTACATCAGCCTAGGTTGCCATACCACATTAGCACAGAGATATAATTGTCAATTCAAATCCCATAGTGATAGAGAAAGGTTTGAAGATATTATTCACGAAGTATAATTCAGTGAGATAAGTTTCAAAGAGCAAGGTAGATGTCTTTAAGACCAACACTAATCTATCTTCCTTTTCAGTTACCTCAAGAAACACTCTTCCACGGAGTGGGTAGCCGGGAAGTAAAATCCGCCCTTATACCTGTAACAGCACACTAAATATTACCATTTTTGAAACCATGAATCAACCAATGTTAAACCACCATTAGAAACCTGGAAGCACTGGACGGCCGTTTCGTCTTAGTATGGGACTCCTCAGCAGTGCGCATCCAGGACTACTGCACCCCGCAGGATTCGAACCTAGGGCGTTCGGTATTGTGCGCGAACGCCCTAACCGTCAGACCACTGAGCCGGTATTTAAACGGTGTTAATGTCTAACTTGATCAAATTCACGGAGTTGCGCAACCTCATACACAGTCTTCGGTAGTGGTTACTGTCTACACCCGAACAGGTTGAACTTCACTGGTCACGTCTTCCCACTAGAACTCGGAGAAGATTCCTCACGAAGCTAGTCACTAGTGAGCACAGGTAATTTGCATTACGGGGTTGTGAAGATTGTTAAGTTACACATTTTTGAAACCATGAGTCATGGATGCGCACTGCCACTGATGAGTCCCATACCAGGACGAAACGGCCGTCCAGTGCTTCCAGGTTTCTAATGGTAGTCTAACATTGACCGATTCATATATATATATATATATATATATATATATATATATATATATATATACATAATGGTATAGTTTTACCACGTTGTTGCACGTGATATTTAACTTTGATACAAAACTCAAAAAACATAATACGTTTATCATTCTAATTGACTTCTTCCTGTACTACTAAAAACGTTTATATATTCAAATTCAAAAAAGAAAACTATTCATTCACCTGCAGCACTATTCTAGAATAAACGTGTATAACAAAAATATTAAAAAAATGCAAAAAGTTAAATCCATATAATA